TTAAAGCCATACAGCTTGTGCCGCTGGACTTGCTCCCTCGCCACCACGCAATCAGCGTCAAGGTTCTCCTAATTATTTTATTTGTTAATTCAAAGAGGATCTCTCATTCGGGGAATAAATTAGAAAGCAAATGGGGAATAAATGATAATGCTCTTGTACTTTCCTCCCCTTTGTGAATGAAATTAAATTGGCTCTGTGTGGAGAGAAGTAGAGAGAAAATATAAGAAAATGATTAGGGTACCTATGTACTCATGGTATACAATGAGAGTATGTGCAGTTTTTCTATCAAAATTACATTTGTATGCATAGAGACACCTGCTCCTCGCTCTGTTGTTTTGAAATAACTGGTGGATTATGTGGTGTACTCAAGGGTTAGTTAGCAGCTGGAGTAGAATATATTGGAGTATATAAGAAATATATAGGCATATATGAGGCCAAATTGTGCAAGAGCGGATCTAACTTATGCTAAGTAAAGAAGAAAACTACTCTAAAGTTAGATTAAGTTGTTATTACGAGGTTACAAGTGTTATTATCTGCCCACTACAGTTAAGTTGCTGTTAGATACTAACAGGACCTTTAGGTTAAAACACAATAGCTGAATGCCTCAAAAGTAAGATCATGTTAACAGTGTGTTTGCACTGCCATTATATATGTTTTGTTTTGAGTTGGGTTAGGTCACTCTTTTCTTCTTGCTGGGTCAGAATCGGGTTAATTGGACCCACCCTTGCTCTGGCTCGATATATTTACACACAAATTGATAGCAAGCCTGCTCAGTTGATACTTTAACCGCAGCATGTTGCTGTTAACAGATGGAGTTTTTAAAGTGAACCCAGTCATGCACGGTCTGCCTCCCCTCCATGCTTGCACCTGCTCGCTTGTTAACCTGTAGGTATACAGACATACTATGCAAGTAGAGTGCATGCAGTTTTTTTTTCATTAGTATTGCATTCTTTTCTATAGTAACACCTGCTCCGTTCTCACTTTTTTTTTTTTGAATAAATTGAGGGTTAAATACCTTGCTAAAGGGCTGCTAGATGCTGGTATACTGTATGCTGTATACTTCAGCCCATGTAGGAATTTTCACATGGAGCTGTTTTTTGTTGAAAAAAAAAATTAAAACAGAATGAGGCATTGGAATTGCAGAAACGCTGAAATATTATTACAAAGCCACAACTCTGACTATTGTTTTCAGAATTAAACTTATCAAGCACTGGGATTTGCAGTAAAAGTCAATAACAACTGCAGTCATGAGAGTTACTTTTGTTGTTATTTTGGAGAAACAAAGTTTTCTTGTTTATTTGCTTTTCCCTCCTCAGAAGCTAGACAGAATACACTTGGTTTTTGATTAGCTGGGTGCGCTGGGCTTTTGGTGCCTTGGTACACCACAGTAATTAGGCTGTCAGTCAAAACCAGATGGCTGGTGGCTAAAATGGGGGAAGTGTTCAGAAGAGTCTCCTACTTAGTTTTCTTGTTGTGGGTCCGAAAATTATGTTAGGACAGTGGTTCTTAACCTTGTTGGAGGTACCTAACCCCACCAGTTTCATATGCGCATTCATCGAACCCCTCTTTAGTGAATTTTTTTTTTTTTTCAAATTCAAGACATAGATATGTTTTTTACTGGCGCATGAACATCACCTTGTTCAAAGAACAAAACCAACACAATGCATGAACTTACAACAAATTACATACCTGCAAATCAGTGTGACTTCTGCTGTTGCCTTTGAGAGACCAGTTCAGATATGTGTGGCTTCACCTTGGCAAGTGCCACTCTCATGTCATTTTCAAGTCTGTTCCTTTTCTTCGTTTTTATGTCCAGCATTGTAGAAAAGGATTGCTCGCAAAGGTATGTTGTAACAAATGGTATAAAAAAAATCCAGAGCTTTCTTAGCAATAATTGGATACTTGTCCATTTGTCGACACCAAAACGTTGAGAGCGTTGTTGTTCTGAAGAGTTGCTGTTGAACCTGGCTCTGCTGAATTTCAATGATTTCGTCAAGATATTCATCGTTGACATCTGCTGTCTCAAAAGCAAACGTGAACGGCTGTCTTGTAGGGAAATATCTGTCGAGAGACTTTGCAAGCTCATCTAAGTGTGTTGCAATTGTTTGCTTCAGTTCCATGGATACAGAAATATCTCCGATTCCAGACACATCTTCGATCTTACTTACACAGTTGTCCAGAAGGGGGACGTTTGCGAAGTTGTTGTTCTCTGTTCGTTGTTTCCATAACGTTAGCTTTTTTTGAAAAGCCTTGAGGTGTTCTTCCGCTTGTATGATATTGACTCCACCACCCTGTATCTGCTGATTGGGATGATTGAGAGCTGCGAATATATCAGCTATGTACGCTAAAATGAGAATGAACTTAGGATTTTTGAAGCAATCTGCATGACAGTGTTGGTGCTCTTGCAAAAACAGGGCTAATTCCACACACATGGCAAAAACACGATTCAGCACCATTAGAATGGTACAGAAGTACCTTGAATTCAGAGCCCATTTCTTTACACAGCTCACTGAAGATGCGGTGCCTCAGAGCACTATTTCGCACATAGTTCACACGTTCCACCACAGTTTTTAACACTTCTGTCATTTTTGGAGGCAAGGTTTTTGTTGCCAATGCATGCCTGTGCAAAATACAATGAGTCACAATGATGTGTGGTGCATCGGCTTTTACTAGCGCACCAAAACCAGAGTTTCTTCCCAGCATGACTGGAGCTCCGTCTGTACAAACTGCAGAAACCATGTCCCATGAAAGATTGTTGTCATCCACAAGCTTCTTCTTATCGGCTGCCTTAGTTGTTTTTATAAGAGTCTTACAAAATAAAAAATCTTCTTTAATCATGTCATCTTTCACATAGCGCACAAAAACAGTAAGCTGGCTTAGATTAGCAACGTCTGTGCTCTCATCGAGTTGAAGGCTGAATTTTGCCGGGCTTGAAATCAGATCGGCGACTACTTGAGCCAAGATGTCTTTACTCATGTCTTCTATTCTGTCGCTGACGGTGTCATTTGAAAGAGGAATTTGGGATAATTTACCTTCGGCCACTGTTCCGAGTATCAGATTTGCCATCTTTAACGCAGCTGGTTTCACGAGTGTTTCACCAATGGTGTGTGGCTTGCCCTGCTTTGCGATCAGGTAAGCAACTTCGTACGATGGTGTGAGGATCGGTTTGTTAACGGGTACAAATCCAAGAGCAGGCAGAGTGGGCCTTTCATCGAATCTGGCTCTCTTCGCCTTGAATTCAGCAAGTGTTGTGTTCTTGTATTCCCCGTCTCCATGCAGCTTCAAGAAGTGTTCCTTTAGTTTTGCCGGTGCGAGACGGGAGTTGCTCAACTTGGCGTTGCAAATCATGCAGATAGGATGCTCACTCCCATCACGTTCTGTAATACATGTGAATCCATATTGTACATATTCGTCCGACCACTTTCTTCTTTTGCCCGACATAGTTAGTATGGATTAAAATGTTGAAAAAATCAAACGAAGTACTACTATGACATTCACATGTTGACTACTGCGCGCGCTACATTCCCCGCAGCACTGATTGGCCAAGCAGTGTAGCATGATCATCTGCAGCCAGTGATGGCCAGAAGGGGGCATGTCATCACAAATTTACA